GGTGGGAGGCCAAGCGGAGATGCTGAGCTCAGGAGTTTAAGACCAGCGCTGGAGCAGGGCAAGACCCCATTCAGACAACAATAGAAAAATGTAGGCTGGACATCATGGTATGCACCTGCAGTCTGGGTAATCAGGAGCTAGGCAGAGAATTCACTTGAGCCCTTGGAGTCTGAGGTTACAGTGGAGCTGATGATGATAGCACTGCACTCTGGCCCAGACTGACAGAACAAGACGTGGTGCTAAAAAAAAAAAAAAAAAGAGCAGCCGGGACAATCATAAACCCCTCAAAAACCTATCCCTAGAGAAATGTCACAATGCATTAAAGGACTTCCCTGACACTCCTTACAAAGTCCTCCTACCTGTCATGCTTTTTAAGAAATGATTACCTTTCATTAACAAGTCATATTTTGCACATAGAGTATATTACAAGAGGCAAAGAGCTTGTTTTAAACGAACTTCCTCTACTCCTTGCTTCCCATTCAGCTCCTCAAGGGCACTATTCTCAGCTTTTCTGGCATTCTCTGGTTATTATATTTCCATAGTTCTAATCATATTTTTATGTTCTCATCTCCTTGACATTTCGTTTATTGATTATTTGTTGGCCACCGATTATAGAAGAAAGGGATTTGCCTCACCAGCCCGTCACACCAGGATCACACACTGGTGACAAAAAACTGTTACACAGACACTCTTCCTAACCCCACCCACAGTATATACATATCACTACTTGGTAGCATCAGTATTCAATGGCTACACTCTATGATCTATTTAAATGCTGTTCTCGTACTGATGATGGATACTGTTATTTTTCTTTCGCGCAATTTTCGGCATATGGAATTAGTACTTTACTTTTTGCTTGCTTAGATTTCATAAATTTGTCTAGAATCATTCCCAAACCTGTTTATATAAGATCCCTCTTGATGTCGTTAAAACTCACCAGGCATGATGGGCAATGGCCAGATTGTGTCATTCCAGAACCTCTGCAGCACCCTCAAGCTGCGCTGGGACCTCCAGTACGCTACATGTCTCGGGTTTCCCTTCTTTTTCCCCCTCTCTCTCTTGAGCTGGGTACGCCTGTTTCCCGGATCTTAGTGATCTTCCTGCTTCATGTTTATGTTCCTATATTGGGGAAGCAGTGCGTTCTCAAGACTTCAGCTGGCCATTTATTAAAATATCTCTAGAATTTCCATTAGGAAAATCATGGCCAATATTCCAAATTCTCTAAAGATTAACTGTTTCAGTAGATTGGTAGAAACGCATTTAAAGTTCTGCCCACAATGAGAAACAGAAATAATTTTGCCTATACTCTGTAATTACTATTGATACACAATTACTATTTGTCAATTAAATAAATTAAAAGCCGGGCGCGGTGGCTCACGCCTGTAATCCTAGCTGTCTGGGAGGCCAAGGCGGGCGGATTGCTCAAGGTCAGGAGTTCAAAACCAGCCTGAGCAAGGCAAGACCCGTCTCTACTATAAATGAAGAAAGATTAATTGGCCAACTGATAGGTATGTATATAAAAATTAGCGCATAGTGGCGCATGCCTGTAGTCCCAGCTACTCGGAGGCTGAGGCAGAAGGATCGCTAAGCCCAGGAGTTTGAGGTTGCTGTGACTAGGCTGACGCCACGGCACTCACCTAGCCTGGACAACAAGCGAGACTCTGTCTTCAAAAAAAAAATAAATTAATTAATTATTAAAACATTTACACTAAAACAAATTGCTTCTGCAATCTGCTATGTCAATGTGACAAATGACTGTAGAAATGCAACTTAAATACATTTAGCATTACTGAATGCTTTGCTCAGGTAAAGAACCATTTTGCATCATGTGTATCTTTTATTTATTATTAACGTGTACAAGCTTCGAAAAATATATGCCTCAGCTTGCATATATAACATTAAAATGGAAATGAATGCAATGTTTTTAAAGCTGAGTCTATCAGCCAGGTAAAAGAAAGATTGTATTTTGAGAAAGAGAGTTTCCTAAGTAAGGGAGGTTTAAAAGTCTCTTATAACTGACTGGAAACAGTAGAGGACGACCAAATTCATGATGTGAATCTTAACTTTATTTCTAAATGATGTATTAGTAAAAGCACAAACATACATTAAAGTAAATAAAGAACAAATAATCAAGCAACAAACAAAAAACCCATGAAACTTCAATGTGCATCAGAATCATCGACGAGAGGATTCTGGGTGAGTGCGCGTGGTCCAGGACTCCACGATACTTTAAGAACCAAGCTTGCCAGGGCGCGGTGGCTCACGCCTCTCCTAGCACTCTGGGAGGCTGAGGCGGAGGATCGCTCAAAGTCAGGAGTCGAAACCAGCCGAGTAAGAACGAGACCCGTCTCTACTAAAAATAGAAAGAATTAATTGGCCAGACTAAAAATACATACGAAAAATTAGCCTGGCATGGTGGTGCAAGCCTGTAGTCCCAGCTACTCGGGAGGCTGAGGCAGGAGGATCGCTTGAGCCCAGGAGTTTGAGGTTGCTGTGAGCTAGGCTTATGCCACGCTCGCACTCTAGCCTGGGCAACAGAGTGAGACTCTGTCTCAGAGAAAAAAAAAAAAAAGAACGGCCGGCCTGGTGGCTCACGCCTGTATCCTAGCATTCGGGAGGCCCAGGTGGCGGACTGCTCAAGGCCAGGGGTTCAAAACCAGCCTGAGCAAGACTCCGTCTCTACTATAAATAGAAGAAATTAATTGACCAACTAAAATAGTAACAAAAAATTAGCTGGGGCATGGTGGCGCATGCCTATAGTCCCAGCTACTCGGAGCTGAAGCAGTAGGATCCTTGAGCCCAGGGAGTTTGAGGTTTTGTAGCTAGGGTGCGACGCCGACGGCACTCACTCTAGCCTGGGCAACAAAGCAAGACTGTCTCAAAAAAAAAAAAGAACCACTGAGCTAAAAATACAAACTCAAGTCGCTTCCAGAGATATGGTCAAGGAAGATAAATTTGAGGTGTGAACATCTGAAAAGTCTTTATTCTATCACACTTAATTAAGAATTTTGCTAAAGAATTCTAGATTGAAAGCAATGATCCTCAAAATCTGAAAGCTGCTGTTGTAGAGTCTGAGGTCATGCTGAGCCTGGACCTCGGTGTGGGTCCCCAGTGTCCTGATAGTGTTGATGGTCTTAGAGTGGGCTTATTTCCATCCACTATGCCGGTAATTGCTGGAGCCTTTTAACCCAAAAGTCATATTTCTTCAGTCCTGTGAAATATCTTGAATTATTTCTTTTATGATTTCTCCTGCCTTCTTTCGGAACACTCATTTGGATAATTAATTCTTGGATTGTTGCCCGTTTTCTTATCTTTTCTCTCCCATTTTCCATCTTTTTGTCTTTTAGTTCTTTTTTTTCTTTTAATTAAAGAACAGAGTCTCACTCTGTTGCCCCAGGTGGAGTATGGTGCATGATCACAGCTCACTGCAGCCTCACACTCCTAGGTCAAGCATACCTCCTGCCTCAGCCTCCTGAGTAGCTGGGCCTACAGGTGCACATCACCATGCCTGGCCAATTTTTAATATTTTGTAGACACAGGTTCTCACTATATTGCCCAGGGTGGTTGAACTCCTGGGCCCAAGTGACCTCCTACCTGGCGCTCCAAAGTGCTGGGATTACAGGCGTGAGCCACCCGCCCGGCCTCTGCTCTGCTTTTAAGCAAGTTTCTCCAACTTCATTTCTCCTCTTCTATTTTTTAATTTTTCAGTTCTGCTATGATTTTTTCATTTCTAAGAACTTTTAAAAACTCCTTTTGGATAGTACTTGTTCTGATACATTCTATATATCATAATTTGAGATTAATGATAGTTCTTGAAATTTCTTTTCCCACATAATTTTTTCGTTCTTTTTTCTTGTCTTTCTTTTTCAACGAGGCTTTACTCAGAAGTCTGGTCACCCTTGCCTGTCCAGTCCATCTTATATTTAAGATAGGGGTCGGCGGGTATGGTGGCTCATGCCTGTAATTCCAGCACTTTGGGAGGCTAGGGCAGGAAGATCACTTGAGGCCTGGAGTTTAAGAAGCCTGGTAACACAGCAAATCCCCGTCTGTATAAAATTAGCTCAGATGGTGGTGCACCTGTAGTCCCAGCTATTCCAGAGGCTGAGGCAGGATGATCACTTGAGCCTGGCAGTTTAAGGTTGCAGTGAGCTATGACCACACTACTGCACTCTAGCCAGGGTGAAACTCTGTCTCAAAAAAAAAAAAAAAAAAAAAATACTACAAGGCTAATGGGCGTTTCTGTGGACATAGATGTAGTCACCCAGAGCTTCGCATTAGGGTGGTCAGGCTCTTCCTTTACACTACAGAACCCCCAAGAGTTCAGGTCTTCTCTTGGGCGGGTCAGATCCCCATGGATGACATCCAGTTTCACACATGGAGATATAAGTTTGGCTGACAGTATTCCTGGGGATGCGGATGGGCAGCAGCTGGGCGGGGGTCATATCAACACAGAAAACAGATGTAAACATCCTCTCATCTCTCTACACCTCAGAGCCCTGGCCTCACCTAAAATCTCCTACAGACCCTGTTTTACCCTCTACTCTCCCGCTGGGTGAAGGAGGAACAGCTTCCCGGGGAAGTGGGAAAGGAGACTTCAGAGACTGCTGTCTAAGCTTTTCTCTCTCAGATCTGTTAAGCCAGTTACCCTCCTCCCTTTGCGTTCTAGGTTTGGAAATGTTGTCGCTTCTCCCTCCCTTGCAATCATTATGGTTTAAGTTTTTCAAAGCTATTACTTTAATGTCATTGTCAGAAGGGGCTATCAAGGACGCAGGCGGGCATCCAAACTGCCCCTTTGAACCAGAAGCCACGTCCCTGTCCTCTGTCTCCTTCACAATGCTTCACTTTCCTTCTTAGCTGTTCGTTGCCATTTGACATATTTATTTGCTTGTTCTTTAAGGTCTGTCTCCTCCTTGAGCTTACAGAGGAGCTGCTTTGTTTTGCACACTGTGTGCAGTGTCTAAACAGCACCTGACCCAGATTAGGTCCTCCCAATACAGTCTGGAGAACAGGATCAGTATCGCAATGCCATTTCAAAGAGAGCGCATATGCATGCAACTGCATACGCATGAGCCCACACAAAGGAGTCTGCAAGGACACACTCTGAGGTGTTAAGAGAGATTATCTCCAGGTGGTAGAGTTATTTGTAATTATAATTTTAAAATTTTTCTATGTTTCCAAAAAAAGTAGGGATCCCTTGTGTAACAAACATATTGAAAACAGAAAACTAAGTCACCCTTTAAAACTGAGCCCCAAAGAGGTTAAGTAATTTGCCCAAGGTCACACAACTATTAAGTGGTGGAGCTGGGATTTGAACCTTGGCAGTCTGGCTCCTCTACACAATACTCCCTTCCCCATTCCATAGGGCCATCCTCTTTGGGGCCTTTTCCTAAAGAATCTGTGCCTCAGCCATGTTTTCCAAAAGCAGCCCTATCAGATAGGGGAAACATGAATAGTTCCAACCATTCCTGGAGACACATAAACCACTGTCAGCAAAACCAGAGGGCATGATGAGATGGCAGAGCAATTGAGGCTGCAGACCGGGGGTGTTGGAAGTAGGTTAGGGTATACAGAGAAGATGCTCGGCCTGTGCTCTCTGTGCTGCTTTCCTGGAGGGGAGGGAAGGAGAGCCTGCTCCCCTCAGCGCTGGAGGGCTGTCTGAGGATGTGCTCTGGGCAGATGCTGTGGGAGAACAGGTTTGGGGGGAACAGAGGGACTGGAGAGGACCCTGCCCCCAGCTAACTGGTGCACAACAGGAAACAATGGCTGTTTTGACTTCCGTTTGTGGTACCATCCCCACCTCCCCAGCAAGTATGACAGTGTTAGATCATGGGGAGGGAGACATAGGGGTGGAGTACCAGAAGAGAGACCTGGTGGTGGTGTTTCAGGCCCTTATCTTAGGCCCTTAGCAGCTCCTTATCTACAAGAATGTTCTAGCAGCAGCAACGGTCATACTGATGCCTCCCAGCTGCACAGTGGCCCTGTACACACGTTCCTTCTCTCTGAAGTTCAGGCACTCAGGCTGCTGTGAACACCCTGATGATCTCCTGCAAGGTCTTCTCCAGTAAGTAAAGCTACCCCTTGCCCCCGCCTGGACACGAAAGCCCAGATGCCCTCAGAGGGGGGAGGCAGGGCTATCTAGAAGAAAGTTAAAAGCAGCTGCCTCTCTGCTCCCTGCCAAAGCTAGCTTAGCCAAATCCCCAGGAAAATGCTGCCACATATGAAACATGAAAATGCAAACCACAGAAAGTCTGCTCTCCTTCCCATACACATGTTCAAACAAGATGCTTTCCAGCCGCTGCTGAAGGCTTCTACACGATGATGTCATTTCCATGGCTCAGTCTGTGGCTTTGCTCTCCTTTCATTAAGATAAGCCAGTTTAACTTATTTGACCCAGATGTGCAGGCCCGAGAGCAGGGGAGAAGCAACAGCAAAGCATGATCCGAGTGTGAAGCCCACCTTCACACCCCTTCCATGAGAGTCAAGCAGAGCCAGCCAGGGAAGGGTCTGATAGCCAGCACTGATGAGGCACGCCATCAAACCACTCCTACAGGAGTCCTGCAAGAGCCAGTGGCCAGTGGGAGGGCCTCACAATCTGCATTTTCCTCCCTCCTCCATGGGATGTCCCCTGGCTAGGCGAGGCTCTCCTCGGCCCTGGCCATGTGGTAACTGGAGACCAGGCCAGGGGCAGAGGGAAGCTGGCTGCTGCAAACCTTACGTCATCCTCTGGTCACAGGTTGGGGGGCGGAGGTGGGGCATTCACCGTCCACACTACAGGGACCCTGGAAGTGCTCAAGAGGCCTGGAGAGACTTCCATACCCAGGATAAACAAGGCTGCAGGGTGTGGTCAGGATCCTGTTGGAAGTTGTGACCACTCCACAGCTAGCCTCTAACCACCAATTATCTGTCTCTATGAAAGCACAGAGCTGCTATTAGAGACAGAGGAGAGGCAGACGCTGACTTTAGCAAGACCCTAGATCTGACCTGCTCCTTGTACCAGTCCTCAGCTCCTTCCCTCCCTCTCGAGTCCTCTGAAGTCTAGGAGGGAGGCAGCAGGAACTGACGGCAATACCAGTGTCTCCTAGCCCCAGGCAAATTTGGTAACTCAGAATGCAGCCCCAGGGGTGGCCAGGGACACTTGGGTTATTATGTACAGACAGTGGCCGTTTAGGAAGAGGGAATGCTACTGCAGTATGGCTGTGGGGCTGATGGCACTATGTCAACTTCTACTTGGGTAGAGGGATCAGAGCTGATGTGCAATGAGATTAGGGAGCTGCTGCGTGACAGTCCTGGCCTGAGAGCTGTGACCCCCCATACACACACACACATCCGCACTCAGGAAGAAACTAATATGGATTGAGTAGATGAGACCACAAGAGCTGTTAGACTGAACACCCTAAAATATGGCCTCTCTCAACTCACTTCCTTAGTTCACTCTGAAAGGAGCATGGGTACCTAGTCTCGAGGTAATATCATGGGACATGGTCATATTGCACGTGTGGTAGGAAAGGAGGCAGCCAAAGGCACAGGATAAATTCTCTATGAAGAGAAGCCCAGGCCTCACTGAGAAGCACGGATCAGGAGCTAACAGCAGAGCCAGGCTGCCTCAGGCTACTGTCCACACCCAGGGCCAAGCAATGAACTGGGACCAGCTATCCCATGGGTAACGTTCCTTTGTCCACTGGTCCTGAGTAAGCTGACTTTTCTGCTGACTTAAGATTGCCATGGTCTTAGGACCTTGCCCAATTGGAGAGACAGAGGGAGAAAGAGAACACTAGTCTTGTGGTGGTGGCCACATCTCAGTAGCCCAGGATCCACTCATTTCTAAATAGGCTCTGAATGCAAGGGCCTCTCCCAGACTCATGGAAGCCATGGGTCTAAACGGAAACTGAGTAAGAGGGCCTTTGCTCTTGGCTGGCTGAAGGGAGGAGATGGGGACACGGGGAAGGCAGTACCCAAGGGCTCTTGACTGAAGTAGTGGGGGAGGGGAGGGAGCCAATCAGACAGCCAAGATAAAGTATACAGCCAAGACTCTGGGGCAAGAATTTGATTCAGGTGGCAGGGACCTTTCCATCCTGAAATCTTCCTATTTGCTGTTAGCCCACTGTCATTCCAAGCCCCAGAAGGGGCCCTCACTTGCTGGTATTGGGAATTGTGAAGACCCCAGTGGGGAAAAGGAGAAAAGAAGCCTGCCATCTTTAGGTGGTCTCAATTGATGATGCCAAAGGAGTCAAGAGAGACTCTTGTGGGCTCACTCACCTTTTCCCTGTGCCGTTAACAAAAATGGCCACAGTCTGCTCACTCTCCAGCTTTGTCTACACGTCATGCTCACCTGAACCACCCTTTTCCATTTCTCATCCTCCGCATCACCCACCCAGGGGGCCTCCTACCTCTCCTGGTAAGAGCCGCTTCCCCCGCACCAGCCTCCAGTTCCCCATGTGCATACACTTTATTTTTTCAAATGTTATTAAAAGGCAGATGGGAGTCTTGCTATGTTGCTCAGGCTGGCGTGCAGTGGCTATTCAGAGGCTCGATCCTAGTGCACTGCAGCCTCAAACTTCTAGGCTCAAGCAATCTTCCCGCCTCAGCCTCCTGAGTAGCTGGGACTGCAGGCACAAGCCACTGTGCCTGGCCACCTGCTCTTCATTAGCATCTCGTGGCATGAATCAGAGTTGGGGTAGACGTGGCTTGGGGCTTTGTAGTACTGATGAACTGAGGGGCTCCACACAGGGCCAAACAAGCTAATCTTTTGACTTGCTTTTTTGTTTTGTCTGTGTGATGAGGAGTTCACATCCTAAAAAGTCTATCTATCCAAGCAGGCAACACATGAATATGTTCTCAAATAATTCAAAAGTCTAACCTGCCAACACTTTTTCTTGAGGTAAACACTGATAATAGTTGGGTGTTCATCCCAGTCTTTTTGTTAATGAGCCTACATAAATATGAACATAAGCATATAAAGGTATTTTTTTAATTTCAGAATATTACGGGGGAACAAATGTTAAGGTTACGTAAATTGCACGTATTCTCCCTCCCACCCGCCTGACACCCGATAAATGTTATTCCTATATGTCCACTTAAGTGTTGATCCCTTAATACCAATTTGCTGGTGAGTACATGTGGTGCTTGTTTTTCCATTCTTGAGATACATCACTTAGTAGAATGGGTTCCCACTCTATCCAGGAAAATACAAGAGGTGCTATATCACCATTGTTTCTTAAAGCTGAATAGTACTCCATGGTATACATATACCACATTTTATTAATCCACTCATGTATCAATGGCACCTGGGTTGTTTCCAAACCTTTGCGATTGTGAACTGTGCTACTATAAACATTTGAGTGCAGGTGTCCCATTTCTAGAGTGTCATTTGTTCTTTTGGGTAGATGCCCAGTAGAGGAATTGCTGTATCAAATGGTAGATCTCCTTGTATCGCTTTAGGTGTCTCCATATTGCTTTCCACAGAGGCTGAACCAGTTTGCAGTCCCACCAGCAGTGTAGGAGTGTTCCTCTCTCTCCGCATCCACGCCAACATTTATTGTTTAGGCACTTTTTGATAAAGGCAATTCTTACTGGAGATAACTGATATCTCACTGTGGTTTTGATTTGCATTTCCCTGATAATTAGAGATGTTGAGCATTTTTCCAAATGGATTTTAGCCATTATTCTGTCTTCTTTTGAAAAGTTTCTGTTCATGTCCTTTGCTCACTTTTTGATAGGGTTGTTTGATTTTTTCTTGCTGATTTTCCTGAGTTCTAAATGAATTCTAGTTATCAGCCCTTTATCAGATGTGTAGCTTGCGAAAATTTTCTCCCATTCTGTGGGTTGTCTGTTTGCTCTCTTGACAGTTTCTTTGGCTGTGCAGCAGCTTTTTAATTTGATCAGGTCCTATTTATTTATTTTTGTTGCTGCTGTGATTGCCTTTGGGGTCTTCCTCATAAATTCTTTGCCTAGGCCAATATCTAGAAGAGTATTTCCAACGTTTTCTTCTAGCATTCTAATAGTTTCACACCTAATGTTCAAGTCTGTTACCCAGCCTCAGTTGATTTTTGTGAGAGGTGAAAGGAGTGGGTCCTGTTTCAGTCCTCTGTATGTGGCTATCCAGTTTTCCCAGCACCATTTATATAAGGATTCTTTTCCCCACTGTATGTTTTTGTCTGCTTTATGAGGATGGTTTTATATCTGAGTTCTCTGTTCTGTTCCACTGGTCAATGTCCCTGTTCTTGTGCCAGTCCCAATCTCTTTTAGTTACTATAGCCTTGTAGTATAGTTTGAAATCTGGTAAATTGATACCTCCTATTTTTTTTTATTGCCTAGGATTGATTTTGCTATATGGGGTCTTTTCTGGTTCCATATGAAGCGTAAAATTATTTTTTCTATATCTGTGAAAAATGATGATGGTATTTTAATCAGAATTCCACTGACTCTGTAGGTCACTTTGGGTACTATAGACATTTTAACAATGTTGATCCTGCCGACCCATGAGCATGGTATATTCTTCCACCTGTTTATATCTTCTGCTATTTCTTTCTTCAGTGTTTCATAGTTCTCCCTGTAGAGGTCTTTTACCTCTTTAGTTAAATATATTCCTAGATATTTTATTTTCTTTGTTGCTATTTTGAAGGGAACTGAGTCTTTGATTTGGTTCTCACTTGTACTGTTGTTAGCATATATGAATGCCTCTGATTTCTGTGTGTTGATTTTGTATCCTGAGACTTTACCAAATTTATTTATCAGTTAAAGGAGTCTCTTGATTGAATCCTTGGGGTTTCCTATGTATATCATGTCATCAGCAAAGAGTGAGAGTTTGATCTCTTCTGATCCCATTTGGACACCCTTAAATCTGCTCTATTGTCTGATTGCTGTAGCGAGGACTTCCAGCACTATGTTGAATAGAAGTGGAGCTAGTGGGCAACCTTGTCTTGTTCCAGTTCTAAATGGGAATGCTCTCAATTTTTCCCCATTCAGTATGATATTCGCTGTGGGTTTGTCATATATGGCTTGTATCATTTTTAGGTAAGCCCCGTCTATGCTACTTTGTTGAGCATTCTTATCATAAAAGGG